CTGAAGCAATGATGGTACCAGCAGAGGGTAGTTGCACTGTACTGGGAGATAGCAACGGTATCTGAGGCAGGACGGAAATGTCATGGTCGGTAGGACACAGTGCGTGGGGCACGAGCAGCAGCAGTCTTGGAGGAGTAGAGCTGCTCGAGGGTGTCCATCCTGGGGTGTAGAGATTGTAACATGACCCTCATGTCTTGTTGTCTGGTGGGATGTTACTTGTCTGAGGAGTGTTGATCTGGTTGACAAGACCAGAGCTAGGTGATGGTGTGGCCACCGAGTTGTCTGCGGCAGCATGGCGCACAGCAGTGTATTCATGGAAGACTCTGTTTGCCGTGGCTGCGTAAGTCCCCAAGGTTGCTGAATAATCCAGTGCTGACAGGGAGAGGCGAACTTCTGCGGGGAGCTTCTGAGTGTGAAGCTGGAGCAGGATAGTGTCAGGAAGCCTGTCCGTGTGGCGGGAGTTCAGTTTCCGCATCTCATCCCAGAGACGTGCAGGCGTTGAGTTACCAAGGGAGAGACCGGATAGGTCTTGCAGGAGGCTGGTGCCAGTCTGCTGGTATCGCATGTTGAGAGCATCTCGTAAAGCTGCGAATTTGTTGTCATCTGGGGGCTTAGTGATGACTTCTGAGACTTGTGTGGCGACTTCTGTGGGCAGGGAAGACCAGGGCAACTACTTCTGTTCGTTTGTAGCTGCAGAGCCGGTGAGAGCTGCCTCCACGTGGATGAGCCAGTCCTCGATGTTGTAATTGAAGACTGAGAGAGAGGTCCGTTTCTCATCCATCCTATGTCAGTGCGTCACTCCGCGGGTCACCAATTGTAGCGTAGTGTGTGTGTGTGTGTGTGTGTGTGTGTGTGTGTGTGTGTGTGTGTTGTGTGTGGTGCAGTTTAATCTATTTTCTCTTTTTTTTTAGGTCCACATACACGCGTAACCCAAGGGAGATCTCGCGTTCAGGGTGGAGGTGAGAAAGGAAACTCAAAATTGCGTATATTGTATACAAAATGCTGTAAGTTGCTGGAGAGGTGTTGTGTGGTTCAGGAGCTTCAGGAGAGTTGGTGTTGCTGGGTGGAGAACGCAGAGTAGAATGACCTTCATTGACAGTGGTGTCTTCAGTTAAGATCGGAAAGAAGAAGGAAGAAGTAGGAATTAGGGATGAAAATAGAAGTACATTATACAGTAGATGTAGAGTTTAAAAGAATCTGGCCTCAACTAGATAGCTACATAAAGTTTTTCTTGTCATTTCCTTTGTTTATCATTGGTTCGTCAGACCTTTGTTTTTTACTTTTTTTGTTTTCGTTTTATCTGCTTTAACTTTTAAGTTTGCCTGGATTTTGTTGCGGTTTCTACCTTTCTTAGCTACCTTTCTGTGTCTATGCAATAAATGCACATGGTTTTAATGTTAGTAATACTGGAGAAAAAGACAGTTTTGAATTATGCTATACGGATGATCCTGAATTTAGTTTAGTTTGTTTTTATTTCCACTTCTTTTTCAAAGTCATTTAGGTTTTTTTATTGCGAGTGCTGTGTGGTGGGCCATCATATCTGTAGATTTACCTGGATATGATAATATTTGGGTTATGTAAGTCCCGAACCTGACATATTTGCTGTATGCCGCTGGAGGTGAAATGTCTGCTGTGTATACTGTATTGTGTAAAGTGAGGGCGACAGGCATCCTCCTTGGGGGACTCCGCTTTCCAGTTGGTCACTGTAGGAAAATAATACCCCTAACATACAATAAAAATAGTTTATTACAAAACTGCTAGACTTCTGACTACTTCCAGTACACACAACTACCATGAATAACACTCATGTACTTCTCAACAAGGCACAGCACGTCTCTCAAAGTCACCATCACTTGGTGTATCTTTTAAACACATCACATTCCTCTTATACCTCGTACACTGGAGTACCAACAATAAAGCTTCCCCATTATTACAGTTTCACGTGTCTTACCCTCGAGCCATGCTACCACAGGTCAGAGTTAAGACAGAAAGAGACAGTAAATAAGATATTAAGTACCTCTGTAAGCAGGATGGAAATCGTGGGTGGAGTGAGGTCAGGGGCCCTCTGACTCTCTCTCCCACCGAGCGTATCCCAACTGTGAGTTACCACGTCGTCACTTACAGAGAAAATCGACAGACTAAGTTACTCTACATAGCGGTGTTTGAAAATTAGGTTGCGAACCTAGTCTAATCTTCTAAGTTTAGCTTTACAAACTAAGCAGTGACTGAGGTCTCAAAGACAAGAAAAAACTGACGATAAATACTTAGAATAGCAGTACCGGGGGGAAAGCAGATAACCGAGCTTTTCAGTTAACTCTAGCAATAATATGTTTTGTGTTTACATTTCAGACAATTATCTTACTTCTATAATCCAAGATTGGCAACGCTTTCTATGTTTCCATCGGATTCTCCAATGTTCATATATCTAAACAGAATGACTTCAGTTCCGAACGGCCGCCGCATAAGAACACGCGGCACATATGATCTACAGCTGGCAAACAGAGTACTCAACATATAATCTTTTAACACAAAATACTCTACATATAAGATACAAGATGCCTTCAACATATACTCAATACAACTAGGCTCTTTCCTCTTACTGTGGGTATACATAATTGACTGTACAGGTACAATAAATTTAATCATTCACAGTTTCAAATTCCCTGAACATCCTGAGTTATTTAAAAATACCCGAGTCTCTGAGCGAGTATATGAGAGAAAAATGGAGGAACTACCACATCCTGAAGTGGATACAAAACAGACATCTCTACTGAGGGACTCAAATGATTCACATGTTTTGTGAGCGCTGTAGCATAATATGAAGAATTAAGTGTTGAACGGACTAACTCCACAAACGTGACCATGACGTTATTATTTTTAAAGTCTTTATTTATTGAGTTGGAGCCATTATTTATTAATTTTTGCTTGTGGTTGTTATGAGGAAGATCTGTCGTCTTGGCGACCATTTCGTACCTTTCTAAATTCAGAGTATTCTATTACGTATTCTGAAGTCGATAGTTGTTATTCTTATTTTGCCTGTAACTACAGTGATCCCTCGGTTAACGAGCGCCTCGGTTAATGAAATTCCGGTTAACGAATTACCTTCCATAAGATTCTTCACTTCGGTTAACGAGCAAACCCTTGGTTAACGAATTCCTTACAAAATTTTTCCAACATGTTTTCGCCTGCATTTGGCTGCCCACCAGCTGTAGTATTAGTATGCCAATACAATAATCGGTTTTAGGGCTTAAATTCCTTACCATTTTAGTAAATATCAAGAAGGTTGTACTATTCAATAATTTTAAAAGTTTTATATTAAATTTTTTAGTCATTTTAACAATTATTGAACATAATTGAAGTACAGTACAGGAAGCTAGTTTTTTGCGCGCCAAACAGCCACTCAACACACCAAGCTTGGCGTCAGTTTGTTTACCAGTTCAGAGGAAGGAACATCTTGTTTGAGACTCTTCAACATAAATGCTTTTTTCTGTGTTTCCAGTCAAATTATTGGTCGTTTTGAAATATATTTTACATATTGACAATACATAATGCAGTGCAGTGTTGGTTTGAAGAAAATATTCTTGAATTACACCGTGAACTAAAATTTTATGGGTGAAATGGCGGCATGGGGTGACTTCTCTTCCACTCCAATGCCTTCTCTTCTCCCTTCTCCTCCACCCCCATTCTGATTCCCATCATCATCAACCAGGAGCCTTCTACATGCACACCTCAAAGTAAGTGTACTTTAATGCATTTGTTTTTAGTTTGTATGTAATTTTCGGTGAGCTGGAACCAATTACCCAAAAACCCATTGAAACAATGGTTTCGGTTAACGAATTTTTCGGTTACCGAGCAACCTTCTGGAACGAATTGTGCTGTTAACCGAGGGACCACTGTATTAGGGTCAATCATATGCTTCATTTAAATTTCTGTCTTGGTAAGTCCATTTATATTAACCTTCTTCACAATTCCTTAATATGGCTTTTCCCGTTGGTGTGGATGTTGGGACTCCATATCTAGGAGTTGTTATTATTTTCAATCCAATTTCTTCTGCTGCCTTTGGTTGTTTAAAGTGTTCCACTGTCTGCATCTCTTCCTCTCTTCTCTTTGGTTTTCGTTTAGCGGTAGCTCCCTTGGCTGCCGCTTCGACTTTCTTCTTGTCAATTCCTGTTTGGGATTGCCTTGGACCTTTTGGCTCCTGCAATTGTTGTGGTACTTTCTCAGGTTCTCCTTCTTGTATTTCTGATGTACAGTCTCTCCTCGACTTATGACAACCCGGACATATGATGGCCATGGTCGTATAAAATATTTTTCACATTACGTATTTTGGAGTCCCAACGTTAGTGATCGCGCTGTGTACTGACAAATTTGTTGTTTGTAATTCCCTTTAAAATGGCTGGCAAGCATAAAAGTGAGAGTTCTCATGGTGCTGAAAAGAAAAAGAGGCACCCATTTTAGAATTTACAGTACAGTATATGCATTATTTCCGCCTTTTCAACTTACGACCTGGTCGTCGGGGCGGAACCCCGTCATAAGTCGAGGAGAGACTACAGTCGTTCCTTCTACTCGGTTCTTTGCTTGCAGTCGATCCTTCAGTTCTGTGGTGTAGATTAGCTGGAATAATTTTTCTGAGTCTGGGTTATGCGGAAACCACATGTCGGGCAGGCTGTTCAACTCAAACATTTTCCTCAGATCGGCTTTGTATGATCCAGGTGATATGATGAGGGGATTTAAAGCGTGATTTTCTGTTTACTCTCCCCCCCCTTTATAAGGAAATACTGTAGTAATGTATCCAATGTTGTATTTCATTTAATTTTCATATGCAGTTTTTTAATATTGATGCTATTGTATTTTAATTCATGTTCTGGGTCTGATAATGTCAAGAGATATTGTCAAAAAGTTACCAAATAAAGACATTGGTGATATAAAAAAAATTACTAATGCCACAGTAGTAAATTTACCCCAAACATGAGAGATTGTTAAAAGTAATAAATACTTACCACGTTGTCAGTAGGTGAGCAGTCGACCACCATGTTGGAGAGTGTAGGAGCGGCTGTGACTTTGTACACCTCCACCACCTCCACCAGGATACCCGTCTGTAACAAAGAAAATTGTCTTATTATTATGGAGCACACACACACACTAATGACAGTGATGGCACAAATAAAGTTATACGACTGATCGACTGTCGACTGATATTGAACCGGCAAGATCTGAAAATGCAGCTGGGCGTTATGTATATGTCTTGATACTGAGAATTACGGCCATATTATTATATAACATCTTCCCTTGAAGAGGGTCCTCATGTCGAAAACCGTAATTATAAACACAAAGGATCTTTTACTGGAGCGCACGAATGAGTGTGGTGGCAGGAAACGAACTTATATTTCTGAAATTTGAAGAGGTATTTAGGAGCTGCTTTTTGTCACCTTCATAATTATTTTGTTAGTTTTATTGAATATTTATAGTCAATACGATTAATGTACAAAGAAACACATATTGGTAATTTTATAAATCAATTTTTTTACATAATTTGTTTTACGGCCCATATTATGACATTGCAAAAGCTGTGTTGCCTGTCAATGTGTCTTTGCCAAGAGCAAGCTGCTGGAGTCATCTCATCTTACTAATGCTGGTACTAATCAGGTGAGGACATTTACGGTAATTTATTAAACTTTTTAACAGTTTTATAAGTGAGTTTCTGTCTGGAAAATATAAACTGGCAATGTTCTTGCCTAGAAATATTAAAATGGATAGAGGCAAATTTCACTGGGAAAAAATCGTCTCCAAACATTTAAGTTATTTAATGCAACTTTTTAGCAGTTTTTTAAGTGAGTTTCTGGGAAATATAAACAGGGGAGGTTTATGCCTAGAAATAATAAAATGGGTAGAGGCAAATTTCACTGGGAGGGCATTGTTACAAGGATGGTAACATTATTGTACATACAAAAAGACCTTTGATACAGTGGATCATGATATAATATGTGAAATACCACAGGCTCTAATTTTCCATAACCAATTACAGTATTTAGTTTTGGTAAACTTCCATTTGGCTGAATTAGGTGCATAATAAAAGAAGTTCACTGGGAGATGGAGTTTGAGTATTTAATGATAATGTGACTTAAGCATATATGATACAGTATTTTGGCTGATATAGAGGACTTCACAGCAGCTTCCCCCATCTCAGTAATAGTAAGTTTGCCCACGGTATGTGATAAGTTATGCTAGGTTAGGTTAAGGTTAGGATAGGTTAACTTTAACTTATAAATAAAACTTATTAAAACATTTGCCATAAATACGACCGTCACATTATAAAACATATTGAAATTGCGGCATTTATAAATTTGTTTTCTCTAAAAACCACAATATAATAAGGGCATATCAGCACTTTAAGGCCATTTTCTATTATTTTATGCATTACATGTACTGTACATTATTATTTTTTTTAAAATGACATTGGAAACATGTGAAAATTTATATTTCCCCGGTGTTTGTAACTAACAGGTTGAACCGGCCAAAGAAAATTTTTAGAAAAATGAATTGGCCAGATTGCGTCTGGAATTTTTGGAATAATTTAGGAGACCAATATTGACAAGAGGCACAGGCAAGGTTGGAGGAAGTGCAAAGACGACAACACAGAAGACGAGTCCGCAGAATTGTACCTGACTGCATGAACCCATTCACAGCAATGAGCGATGACTATTTTAAGTAAATGGGATATGAAGGGGTAAATATGCAGTTTACTTAAGAGGAGTTCATGTTGGCAATAGTAATTTCTTACATATATTTACGTGAACAGAAAAAAAAGGTAATTGGAACACTACTAAATGACAGTAAGAGAGCAACTGGGATAAATGGAGGAAAATGTTAATTACACGGGAGCTGGTACATGGCAAGCTTAGTTTGTTACAGTCCAATAAACCTTTGATCTAGATGTAGGATAGTTATTTAGTGGGTCCCATATTTTTGACCTGACCTGAGTAGTCACGTCGCCCCCCTTCTCTTAAGCTCCTCTACGTGTGTAATAATAATAATAATTAATGGTTTATTGAAAGAGCTTGGCAGCCAGAAGGCTGAAAATATACAGTTACATAATTGGGGAATGGGTTTCGAATTACAAATAATATACAAATAACATACGTGATATAAATAAGATATATAATAACTAGATGGGCAAAAGCTCAAACTACAGGGCATTTCAACATAGTGACAGTGCAAGAAGTAGTATTTACTGGGAGTGAATACACTGGTTTATTACAAGTTATTGATAATTTTTACAATGGCTGGGACTGGGCTGTTCTTATAGCGATCAGTTCGTGCACGTATGGGCTGGATGCGGTTGTGGTGTCGAACAGCAATTCTCGGGCTAGGGATCTCAGGTGGTAGTAGGAGCCGGTGTCGAGGATGGTGCAGAAGCTTCTTACCAAATTTGCAGATGAGGTCGTGGTGATGGTCTGTGAGAGTCGAAAGGGTCAATGTGTTGAGCGCTTCTTGATATGTGGAGTAGGAAGGGGAGAGAATAATCTTGTATGCCTCTTTTGCACTTTTTCTACGTGTTTACGTTGTGTGGCATTTAGGGAGGAAGACCAGGTAGGGGAGGCATAGGTGAGCTTGGGAAGTATGAATGTTGAGTAAACACTGAGGAGCTCGGGTGCAGGAATTCCGAGGGACTTGAGTCAGCGGAGGAGGTGGAGACGGAAACTGGAGGATTTGACAACTTCACTGACGTGTGGTTTCCAATTTAGTTTGTTGTCTATGGTGACACCGAGGAGCTTCGTGGAATCTACAACCTGGAGTGTTGATGGTGACGTGGTTGTGGGTGGCCTAGTTTTGGAGACTGTTCAATAAATCCTGAAGGGCGGTATAGTCGGGTGCAGAATTGTTGACACTGATCCCAATGGTGGAGTCGTCGACATATTTCCAGCGAGCGGGGGTTTCTCTTAGGGCATCATTGATAAGCATAAGGAAGCAGAGTGGTCCCATCTTGGTGCCTTGGGGGACGCCACAGGTGAGTGACTGAAAGGTGGAGACAGCCCCTCGGAAGCGTACAGCTTGGCGTCGGTCACTGAGGAAGTCTGTAAGCCATGGTATAAGACTTCTCCGAAGCCTGAGGTCAATAGCTTTGTTGATGATTAAATTGTGGTCGACTAGGTCGAATGCTTTAGTGAAATCAATGAAGGCGACAGCTACAGACGTTTTTCATTTCTCGAGATGGCGGTATATGTAATCGAGAAAGCTGACAAGACAGTGAGTGGTGGAGGAAGTTTTCATATTGCCAAATTGCTGAGGGTCTACGACTCCTGCAATATCAGCATAAGCCCAGTCGAACACAAAACTTTCACAGATTAGGCTGGGTATTGGGGTGATTGCAATAGGTCGTAGCTGATTTAAGGATTGTGGGCTGGTTGACTCGGGCACTGGTGATACATAATAGGTCTTCCAGTCAGCTGGGAATCTGGCTTGACTGAGAGAAGCATTGATGATGGAGCATAGGGGCTTAGCAAGCTCCGGGGAGAACTCCTTGAAGAGTTTCATTGTTAAGTCAATGGGGGTGGTAGAGCGTTTTAATTTTAGTTTGTCCAGACGTTTTGCTACTTCAAATTCTTCTACTAAGTCAGTGGGAAGGGGGGCTGGTAGGTAAGCAGGGAGAGTGGTTGTGTCAAGCCGGGGGAGCGTCTGGTATATAGTAGCGAAATGGTTATTTGATTGCTTAGCTGAGTCAATATTAGTGAGATGGCTAAGGAAGGGGAGGGGGTGTGTTGTTGGTGTGGGGATTAGTGTTTGACATCATTATGACCTGACCTCATGTTTAATTAGGTCACCCTGTATATTTAAGCCTCTCCCTGTCCATGTAATCCAGTTGCCTCTGAAGATGTTTTGAATAAAGACGAAAGCTAAGGTGCTCCGTTGTTTCCTTTTTCCCATGTGACTTTATCAAGATTTATCTTATCCACGTTTTGAAAACCTTTGATCTTGATGTATGACAGTTATTTTGTGGGTCCCTTTTTTCTGACCTGACCTGTCTAGTCACGTCACCACCCTTCTCTTAAGCTCCTCTACGGTTGTGTTGGTGTGGGGATTAGTGGATGTCATCATTATGACCTGACCTCATGTTTTTAGGTCACCCTGTATATTTAAGCCTCTCTCTGTCCATGTAATCTAGTTGCCTCTGAAGATGTCTTGAATAAAGACGAAAGCTAAGGTACTCCGTTGTTTCCATTTTCCCGTGTGATTTTATCAAGATATATATATATATATATATATATATATATATATATATATATATATATATATATATATATATATATATATATATATATATATATATATATATATATATATATATATATATATATATATACAGTGGGGTATGCTATAACGAATCTAATTGGTTCTAGAACCTTGTTCGTTATAGCATTCGTTTGTTATAGGATTAATCCGTTCCAGGCCCCCAAATACAACCACTTAACACTGAAAAATATAATATAAAATTGTAAAAATTGTAAAAAAGTGCATAAATATGCATCTAAACCCCTGAAATAAAGAATATCATTAATATTTGTAATAATAAAACAATAAATTAGAAAAAAAAAAAATTAAATTATGTTCGTTGTAGGAGTTTCGTTCGTTATAGCATTCTCAATTTTATAGGTAAAACCGTTCGTTATAGGAATATTCGTAGTAGGATCCGTTCGTTATACATACCCCTTACTGTATATATATATATATATATATATATATATATATATATATATATATATATATATATATATATATATATATATATATATATATATATATATATATATATATATATATATATATATATATATATATATATATATATATATATATATATATATATATATATATATATATATATATATATATATATAATTTTTAAACCAGTTCAGGAGCAGCACCGATCTATTATTCTCTAAGCTTTTGTCATGCAAAACTCGCCGGTGGTTCCTGTAACCTATTGAATGAGCGGGAAGGAAAAACAACTTAAAGTGGCAGTCAAATTTGTGTTAATATTAGTTTTGTTAACACTTCAATAATATAAGAAATAATTGCACGAATACATTTTTTTTTATC